CGGCTGAATCAATAAATGGCCCAGTTGATAACACGGCCCCACCAATTGGGGATATACCCCGTCGCTCCTATTTCCTGCCTGCGCGAAAATAGACGAAGAAATCCTTGCTAGATATAACGCGATACGTTTTCCTTCTCTCATTGTGGGATCTTAGCCGTTTCTATTCTCGTCCTACGCGTATTCTTGTCGCGTTAATTTTTCCTATCCCTCGATGATGGAAACTGGGTTCGAATTTTTTCTTTTTTCTTTTTTTTGGTTACGTAGTCGGTAGAACGTCCTTCATCTGAGAAAATTGGAATTTTTTTTCACTGTGGAATTTTGAGAAAGTGATTTTGGTTTTTTTTTTTTTGTTTGGAATTTTTTTTCACTGTGGAATTTTGAGAAAGTGATTTTGGTTTTTTTCTTTTTTGTTTGGAATTTTTTGGTGGATGTTGTTCACTATTTATAGTATTATTATTTCGTTATGGGAATGGAGAATATATGTATAATTGTATAGACTGAATTGAAATTTTTTGCTATGAGGATGGAGAAGTCTGTAAAAGTAATTTTGATTTTTTTTGTATGTATATGATAAAAAGAATTTTCTTTTTTAAACTAATTTTATGTAGCCTGTAGATATCGAAGCATGTTGCATTGATTTAAGTGATGGGTTTAAGTCAATGGGAATGGAGAAGTTTTATGTGGAACTCTTTAAAAATGATTTTGACTTTTTTTTCTTGGAATCAGTGGAATATTTTCCATCTATGTATGTATATGTATAACGAAAGAGTTAAGTTTCTTTTTTTTAAATGAAAACTAATTTGATGTAGATCGAAGCATATTGCATTGATTTAAGTGATGGGTTTAATTCAATGGTTTGCATGAAATTGAAATACTTCCAACTTTATTTTATATGCATATATATGTATTGTAATATAATCTTAATATACTCATTGATGCAATAAAATGCATTCTCTCCTTTTGTGGAGAAACTTTCTGTACAGATGATAGGAATAAATATATAGAAAGTGTATTCGTCATCAGACAATTAACAAACACGAGTGTCTAGGTCGAAGATAAACACGATAGATCCGTGATCGCAAACACTGTGATTTAAACAACGTGGTGCCCACGTGTTTGTTCATCCCGTTATCGATTAACAAATACAATCGCGTAGCTACCCAAAAAAAAAAAAAAAAAGAAAAAGAAAATCGCAGACACGCGTTTTAAAACAGAGATACATCGAAATTTTAAATATTAGTACGTATATTAGATGTGTGAAAAGAAGAAGTTTATTTATCAAATAGAAAACTAAAAAAAAAGGATATAAATATTCGATAAAGATCGATAATGAAAACAAACTGAGATCTGATCTTCGTAATAAATTTTTATAAAGAGTTGTAATGAAGAAATCAAATTTATTTATTAAATAATTTTAATTTATCAACAAAATAGTTTATTCAAAAGAATAATAATTATAGAAAAATTATATTTCCTAAAAAAATTCGATTTTCTTTTTATCCCATGTTTCCTACTCTTTTTTCCTCATACTCAATACTGTCAACCATGTTTCATGAATTTTTAAATTTTCGATCTCGTCAAAATCTCTTCAAAATTATACGATGGATCGTTCTCAAGCGTCAAAAGAAAATATCCTACACTAACTATCGATCCACTTATTTTATAAAGAAGTAATTACAAAAAAAAAAATTCTCTACTTATTTTTCCCTTACTTCCACTTCTCTTATTTTTCTCTAAAAAATAAATTTTGTACAACCACGAGTTTCAAATTTCGTAACTCGATCTCGAGCATCAAATTAATCAACGCCTTAATTAATTTCCCGTTTAAAACATCTGGTCTCACATCCACTGTACTTGGAAACAACTACGAACGAAAGAATCAAATCCCCCAAATCAAATCTGGATTCCATTCAAATTGAACAGATTTTCCCTCCTCCTTAAATGGGAATTAAAAAAATCAATCGCAAAAGTTGAAAAGATGGGGTGGAATTCCCTCTACAATTCGGAATTTCTCCTCAATGAGAAAGGCCAAGGTGTTCGAAGGGGTGAAGGAGGGTTTTGGCGGAAGTTGACTGGCATTGTAGTAGACGTCAACTGGGCAAAGCGTATTGGACGGGGACGAGCGCGTTCAATTTCCAACGATTCCGAGCCGGGCCACAATTTTCCCCTAGACCGGAGGCGATAAAGCGCCCTCTGCGCGATGAGATTTGCCTCTAGACGAGTGATGGGTTTAAGCGATATTTCATAATATCGGTGACGCCCGATGTGTACGATGTCATGCGGATTTCTTATTATTAAACGAATTATTATTTGTGAGATGAACTTTCGTGAAAGGTGAGAAAGAATTTTTCGTGTCTTTGACTTTAATTTGATGTAAGTTGTTCAATATAGAGGTGTTGGTTGTTGTGCATGGATATTTTGAATTTCATGAATATCCTTTTGTATTTTTTGTATCATTCGATTGAATCGCTTATCTCATCTATACAGAGGATGTCTTACTTGAAATTATTTTGAACCAAATAGTGCAACGAGCAAGATTCGAAATAAGTCTCGCATGTGACCCTTAAGAATATTTGGAATTATTTCAAATTGTGTACTTTGTTTCGTCCAAATTTCATCGTACAAGGGACTCAAGACCACGAGGAATCATTTTGAATCGAGTAGGGATTCTTAAACCCATCACTCGAAATAAGTCTCACTAGTTTAAAACTATCTAAAATTATTTCAAATCGTGTATTTTGTTTTATCCAAATTTCATCGTACAAGGGACTCAAAATTATGAGGAATCATTTTGAATCGAGTAGAGATTCTTAAACCCATCACTCGAAATAAGTCTCACGCTTAAAACTATCTAAAATTATTTCAAATCGTGTATTTTGTTTTATCCAAATTTCATCGTACAAGGGAGTCAAAATTATATTCAAAATTATTTTGAATCTAGTAGAGATTCTTAAACCCATCACTCGAAATAAGTTTCACGCTTAAAACTATCTAAAATTATTTCATATCCAAAATGTTTCATCCAAATTTCATCGTATTAGAATTATTTTAAATCATATTTGATTCAATCATGATGATTCGATCGCTGCAAATTTTTTTAATACTCCCCCTCATCGTTGATATTTCAAGAAAATAATCCATCCGAAAGATCTCCCTTGAACGAATGGAAGTTTCGAATCTTAAACCCATCGCTTGTCTCCGCGTGTATATGTGTTCCATTCGATATAACTCAAGACTGGGATTATTTCGAATCGAGCAGAGATTCGAGACAATTCCAACCTGTCTTAAACCCATCACTCGCTCCGAGAGGCGAACTCTCATCGTGTAAGGAACGCTTTAAACACGGTACACGTCTCGAGGCAAGAAACATTTCTTGGTTCCTACGTAACCCGTTGACGCTTCGTTGATCCTCCAAAGGTACTGTATTTCACCACGGAAGCGCTATATTAGAATAATTTCAGTTTCCAGTAGACACCTGGGCATCTCGAGTAACGCGCTCCCCTTGTTCGTCGGTTAATACCGTGCTGTGTTAGTCTTCCTCGGTCGTTCTTTTTAATTAATTCATGCAGTCAAATGGATATTCAATAAACTGACAGTAACGATAGTTGACAACCTGGTTACGTTATTATAGACTGGCAGGTAACCTGTTTGCGTTATCCGCAGAATGAGACGGATGTGGGTTATTGACCTAGTTGTTACGTAGATTAGGTTAGGTTTTGATCAAATTTAAATTAACCGATAAACGTTTTCAGCAGATTTTATTTTATTTTTATTATTTTTCTTTTTTTTTTTTTTTTAGCAATTTGAATTAATTAATGGAATGCATAAAATCATTAATTTCGTCGTGTTTTTAGGTTTTAGTTAGGTTAAATATAATATTAGTTGTGACACGTTTTGAGAATCATTAAATCGTCGATTTAATAAAATCGTATTTCTATATCAGGTTAAATCATCTATATTAGATTAAATCGAGTTAGGTTCAGATCAAATTTAAATAAATTTAAATAAATAAAAGCATATTTTAAGTATTGAAACGAAATCATAACAAAATAATATTTATGCCCATAAATCAATATCCGCTCCTTTTACCAATTTATTCGAAGAAAATATATTTAGACATACAGATTCCATCCATCGTCACGATCCTATTTTCATCTTAAACCGTCTATAAGTAAAAACTTATTCTTAGATCTCTAGATTCCAAACCGATACTTAATTAAAAAATGATGACTCGATCGCTGCAAATTTTTATTTAATACTCCCCCTCATCGTTGATATTTCGTTTCAAAGAAATAATCCATCCGAACTTAACATCTCTTCCTTGAGATATTCCTTCCTTAGAGATTTCCAAAAAAAAAAAAAAAAAAAAAAAAAAAATGGATACTCGAATTTTCCAAAATTTTTCCCCCTCGATAGGAATCAATTTCCCAACGAGATACCATTTCCAGCCGGCAAGTGGCGCCGGTGTGAAATGAAAACTGACAAACTGCGGGATGGTCGGTTAATAGGAACGCGATATCGCGTCACGCGGAGAGACGAGGGGTCGATCTGTGGGGGCGAGGGTTGATACATGACGACAAGCTAGAAGTGCGCGCTATTTTACAGTGCTTGTTTGACGAGGGGGTGTGTAAATACCTCGTATAAAGATTCTTGTGAAAGCTTTATCGGATTGCGTACGAAATAAATTTAATCGACGAAACGAAAGAATAATTTAAATGAATATAAATTATTGAGTAATGGAAAGTAATGAATGACATAAATTAAAATAAGAATATTTATATATATATATATATATGGTGATGAAAAATTTGCAAAATCGTGAAATACGAATGGAAATGAAAATTTTCAATTCCAGTTTCGTTTCACCCTTCAACTTGTCGAGTTCAATAATCGAGCAAATAAATTGCAGAAAACACAAATTGCATCGAGATTAATATCCCTCGATGGATATATAACGTGCACGGGTATGATGATCGAGGTATATTTGCGCCATGTTGCAGAGGACGAGCACCAATCTATGGGGTGAGTGGATGGGCGTATTGCACGGTGACGAGGTGGAGTACGTGTTCGGCCATCCCCTGAACAAGTCTCTCAAGTACAGCGACAAGGAACGAGATCTGTCCTTGAGGATGATACTCTACTTCTCCGAATTCGCCTATTTGGGGTAAGTTCGCTCTTTTCTCTTTCTTTCTTGCCCGCCGAAAAAGGAAAAAACTATTATGGGAGAGAGAGAGAGAGAGAGAGAGACGGTGATGGACATTGGTTGTACACGTTGCTCGTGAAATAATATCGAACGATTGTTGGGATTGTTTTCACTGAATCAAAGTGCATATATTGCGTGGTTATATGAAGGAAATGGGGAGGGAAAATATTGTTTAAGAAAACAGAATTCTTCCTTCTTGTCTCTCTCTCTCTCGAAATGAGAGTATCTCGTTATCGTTGACGATTGATATCGTCTTCGCGATGATTTTGAAAATTTTGAGGAAATCTTAATTTGAATTTGCGTTTCGTTACAATTTGGAGAATTGGACGAAAGGTTCGATGGTTTTTTGAAATAAGAATTAAAAGGGAAAATAATACGCCTGGGGCGATAAATTTATCGTTAAAGATTTGAATCAGACTCGTCTGGTGAGGTTAGTAGTAGTTGTTATCTGGCATCGTTCCCTGCATTCATAATCTAACTCTTGATCTATGTAGAATTCCAAGTTTGAAAAATAAGGTTGTGCAAGGGAAGAGGGGGAAGGGTAAAAAATTCATAGAAATTTATTAGACTGTCCCCTTCGACCTATTTCTAAACCGTAAACCACACAGGAGTCCTCCATCATAGAAATTTTCTGGAAACGCTGGAAATGTCCAAAAAAATAAACGAACTCTTCCATCATCGAAATTTTCTGGAAATGCTCAAAAATCCAGAAAGGAGAAGATTCCAAATAACGTTATAAGCCTACAGATACAGTACTTTTCTCTCTCTCTCTCTTTCTCTCTCTTTCTATAATGATCAATCAAATTTTCCAAAAACAAAATTTTCCAAAATCTTTTATCTCAAAAAACGTTTCAAAGAAAAAGTTTTCAAGAACAATCCATCGAATCCACAGACCAATGTCTCTCTTTACAAACATAGATATATATTCAAAAATTTCAATATCCTTTATGGAAACACAATAATCCAATCAACTTGTAGAAAAGAACAGGTTAGGTTAGGTTAGGTTAACGGAGAAAAATATTTTTAATTTTAATTTAATTTATCACATTCGCATAATTCGAACAGTGATTCAAAAAGCTATAAGAATAAAATAGACGACACAAGTATATAATATCGATCTTGTTCCTCTCCAAAATAGAAAAGGAAAGGAAAAAAAAGAATATTAAAAATTCCTCTCCTCATTCGCATTGGGAGACACTGACTTATAAATCGACGAGAGTCAATTTCGCTCTTAACGAAATGAAATTATATTGATCGTCGCGTCTTGTTTGCACCGTGCCCCGTTTCTGTTGACCCGGCACACGGATTTTACGAAGCTGCATTATTATCGTCCAGGTTGCGTAGGATTGCACGCAATAGATCTGGAAGATGTATTGGACGCGTAAAGCCTATAAAGTGTGATCAAAGTGATGGCCGCGTAAGGTGTATCACGCGGCGGGGACGTGTCCCTATAAATAAATTAAACCATGGCCATTTCGCGAGGATGGTTTACTTAACGGGATAAGAATCGGGCGATATTTCATTCCGCGTGGGATTAACCGGCCGTAAATCAATGTCCGCTCGAATCGGGCGGGGCAAGGCAAATTTATCGCGATTTAACGCGTTCCTCGCCAGATCGTATCGAACAAAACCTTTTACTTCTTTTTTTTTTTTTTTTTTCTTTGGATTTTTTGGGGAGGATTTTTTTGATCCTCTGGACACGATTATATTGTAGGTAATGTTTCGTTGTTTCAAGCGGTTTATTTCGGTTATTAGGAAGTGCTGTAAAATTTGAATTTTTCTGATTTGTTGTAATTCTTTTTGAGAATTAGTTTTTTGTAATGGTAGATGTGAAAAGTCATTTTGGATTATTAGAAAATATTGAGTACTGTAACTTTTGAATTTTTCTGATTTGTTGGAGGTATTGGGTAGAAATTAGTTTTTTTAATAGAGGAGATGTCAAAAGTTATTTTGGTTTATTAGAAAGTGTGAAGTAACTTGTAACTTTTGATATTATATATATACTAAATTGTAACTTTTGGTTTTGGACACAAATTACTTTTCTGATGTCAAAAGTCAAAAAATTTTGGTTTATTAGAAAGTTTGGAGTACTGTAACTTTTGAATTTTTCTGCACTTTTTGGATATAAATTAGTTTTTTTAATAGTAGATGTCAAAAGTCATTTTGATTTATTAGAAAATGTGGAGTAACTTGTTGTAACTTTTAATTTTGGGCACAAATTACTTTTCTGTAATAGTAGATGTCAAAAGTCATTTTGGTTTATTAGAAAGTGTAGAATAACTTTTGATACACTAAATTGTAAGTTTTGATTTTGTATTTTTTGAATACAAATTATATTTTCTGTAACAGTAGATGTCAAAAGTCATTTTGCTTATTGGGAATTGTAGAGTATCGTAAAATTTTTGAATTTTTCTGATTTTGTAATTTTTGGACGCATTTTATTTTAGCCAATGTCACAATTCATTTCATTTATCAGAAAGTGGAATATACTCTAACTTTCGATTGATCGACTCCTTTGTAAAAATAAAACTCGTATCTCAAAATATTTCCGTCATTTTGCTCATTTAAAACAACGATTCAAAATTTCGTATTCACGCCTGGCCTCGTTTCAACCACAATTTACACCAATCCTAAAATAAAAAAAGAAAAGCATTGAAAAATTTCACGATTCTAAAATTTCCAAGAATCAAAACGAAGTTATTGAATAAAATTCCTCCACACCACCAACCATCTACATCCAAAAGTATCTTTCTTTCGCGAATCCTTTTCAAAAAAAAAAAAATCTCAAATTTCCACGCTTCACCAAAAATCGATCACGTTACGACGACCTTTCATTGCGAGAATAGATCCCCGATCTCTATATCCGAGAGCCGATTAATAATTGCAAAAGGTTGGCCAGCGGAGGAGGCCTGTGACGTAGCTGGTCGAACGGAAACTCGGCCCTCGAATTAATTCCGTTCTGGGTTCATCGTTGTGTTTGACGACTGCGATTAAATATTAAAGATCGCGAGGCTACGACGCGTTCCGTGGCTCGGCTTTTCAATCTGGGTTAACTGGAAACTGAAGAATTATTTATCGACGCTTGGACACAAAGAGGCCGATATGTCACGTGTCGAGCGGACATCATCCATCAAGCCTCCGGGATTCTTTATTTTTTTCTCTCTCTCTCTCTCTCTTTTTCCTTTTTTTTTCATTCCAAACGATTATCAACTTATCTAGGAATCTTTGTAACACGTTGATTATTTTTTTTTCTCTTTTCTCTCTCTCTCTCTGTCTCTCTTTTTCTTTCTATATATATATTTTTTATTTTGTTTTTCATGTTCGCGTTATCCCTCGTATTTTACACGTACTCGATATTTATTATTTCGTTGTATCATTTTGTTTCGATGAGTATGTTTTGCCTCCTAATTAGTTTCGATGAACAACGCTTGATGAACGAGAAGAAGATGGATATGTCGGCGGCTAATTGATTAACGGGAAGATGGCCCGTGTAAATGTTTGATTGATACGCGGATCGTGGCGAGAAGGCATGCTCTTTCAATAATTAATAAACCATCCTCCAGAAACTGTTCAATTTATTAACATCGGTGGCATCGGTTGTTTGTTAATTTTAAACGAGATCGGATTAAATATGCCTCGCCTCGATGTTGTATATTACTTGAGTTAATTATCTGTGAAATAATTCTTTTCTGACGTTGATAATTAGTGATAGGATGTGAAAAAATGTATATATTTGTTGTTTTCGATAGGGACAATGTTGTCACCATGTTGCCCCCAATGTTGCCAACGATTGTTATAAAATTATATTGTTTCTTTGTTTCGAACGCAATATCTTTTTTTTTCAGAAAACCAACGAAAGAAGACTCTGAATGGCCATCGTATTCGAGAGACGAACCAAAATACTTCATCTTCGACGCGGAGAAGACTGGTCTTGGTAAAGGGCCACGTACCACGTATTGTGCTTTCTGGAACGAATTTCTGCCAAAGTTGAAAGGGATACCAGGTTCGTACCAAGTTTTTTAATTTTTTGAAAATTCTCTTGAAATACTTTTTTAGTAATATTTTAAGTAATTTTTGTATTTCTAAATTTTTTTCTCTTTCCCTTTAGAAATTTTGGTGTTAATTGTTTTTATTAATACCTATTGTTTATCCCTTCCCTCCTGATTCTTTGTTTTTTCTTCAAAATTTGTTCTTCTTTCTTAGAGAACCATATACTATTTCTTTTAAGAAAATCATCGTATCCTTTTTCTTCCTTCTCTCTTATATCACTGAAAAAGTTCCTTAGAATCTTTTCCTGTAATCTTCTTTCCTTTTACAAAAGGACTTAAATGGAATCGCGTGTTCATCAGAAATTTTTCATTAAAGATCTCTTCTTTTCTTTAAAGATTTTATAAAACAGTTTCTTAAAATAATTTAAATAATTATACAATCAATCAATTTTCTCAAGAAACCATATACATAATAAATATTATTATTTCGATTTCCAAATATAAAGATGGAAGTAATTATTTTTTCAATTCATTGTGCTTATATATCCCTCCTTTTTATCTTGGATAAAGATTGTTGTAACAAAGACAAGAATTGGAAAGAAAAATGGCGAAAAAAAAACCATTAGAAAAATTACTTCGTTCCCTACGAGGAATCGAACCCGTGACCTCCAAGACGCAAGTCGAGCGCTCTATCCACTCCACCACCAATACCTTCCTTTAATTTTTCATTACACGATTCTTTTCTACCTCGCTTTTCCACCATATATATCTTATTTTCCGTGAAAAATATCATTCATATCGCGCAAGTGGGTGCACGTTATTAAAACTCCTCGCCGTTGTCTTCGATCACCAGTGACAAGTGGTTATTTTTTTTATTTCCACCATCGAGCACGATGCCTCGTTTGCCCACGGCATTAGCAGCAGTTACCACAGGCAATTATTACTATGTCTAGAAATTATCCAACCCATCTATCTACGATAATGCGAGGCGATAAATAATTCAAAGCTGGGTTGCGAGATTTTCGATGTTGTTTCCACGTTTCGAACAATTATCCAGGTTGTTATCGTCGCGTGACGACTCGTCCACCCTCCCTCCCCCCGCGTGTCCTCGCCCCCCTCCCGCATAATTCCCAGCGTTTGTTTGCTCGAGATTGTTCCGGATTAAAGCTGGTATTTGGTCGAATCGAATTCGATGTCGCCACTCCCCTTCCTGGTTATCGTTCTCCAAACGAAATTGCTTCCAAACCCTACGTCCTTCGTTTTTTAACCAACGTTTTGCCAAGATTTAAAAAAAAAAAAAAAAAGGAGATAAATTCTCTTGATAGAATGAGACTCGTAGAAAGGAATTGTTGAATTAATTGTTCGTTCGTTTGGAATAATAATAACTCTTTGATTATGATTGATATAAATTAATTTTCTTTTTTTTTTCTGAAGGTCGTTCAGCTTCGATCGTTAATTTTTTATTTTTTTTTTTTTTTCTATTTATCAAAGAGATTAAGATCTGTATATGAAAATTTATGGTTAGTGTTCCTCGTTAAATAAAGTCTACCTCTATTAAATCTATTACACGATATTACGAGACAAGGGATTAAAATTTTTTTTCTTTATCACGATACTCGGATAATTTCTTATCGCGCCTCGATCCTTCGTTAACCATCCATGATTGATCAAAACTCACGAAAATTGCTCGATCAAGGGAGAGATTAGAGTATTTCTTTTTATTATTTTTTTTTTTGTTTATTAAGAATATTGAAGAATAAAATATTGATTCTTCTATATTAACTTTTGTTGTTTCTACTTGAAATTACTATTGAACAACTGTATACTCACTTGTGAAAAATATCTTAAAGAATAATCAGCAAAAGTTTTATTTCTAAATAGACTTATGATTATGCTCAAGTTAATAAAATTAAATAAATTCGATAATTTTCGAAACAGAAATTATTTTGTGAACAATGAAAAGCAATTCTCGAGAATTTTAAATATTGTTTTAAATTCTATTCTCAGACTCTCAAGGATTCTGCCAAAAAATTAGAGAGAACCGCGAAATTAAAAATATTATTATATCTACAATAATTCTTAGAAAATCTCTCCAAAAAGGGGAGAGCGACGACGATCCCCTGAGAATTTTAGCCTTAAACGCTAGCTAAAATTCGCGCCCCCAAAGTATCGGTTTCCCTCGTTGGCTGTAAGGCCAATTCCTAGAAACACCAGGCTATAACGGTTAATGCTTGTTTAACTTTCGCCGTTAAACTCCGAAATAACGTTGGTATTACAGCGTTCAACGTGCCCACCAATCTTCAGGCGGCAGCTTAATTAATGGGACACTTAGCCGCCATCCCTCACCGAGGGGATGCAAATTGCCACCCACCTCGTTTCTTTTAATAACAATCGCCAGCAGACGGTGGTGGTTAAAGGGCTCGTCGTGTACACCAGGAATGCAATCTCTCGAAACGTTGTATGCAGTAACACGCTTAATAGGTTTTTTGATCATCATCGGTGTCGGTCGAAAATTTAATACGCGAATATATTTGATGGATAAAAATAAAAATTGATACTATTGAATTAGAATTGAATCTTTGTACGTTTGTATTGGATAAAATTGGAGATTATTTATTTGCAATGAATATGAAATATTCAAATAATCCTAACCTCTTTTATGATATCTTTAAATCTGCAGTGACTTAACAAATAATCCCTCCATCCTTCCAAAAGTGTTCCACGAATATATTATATTTTCTGCATTGTATTGTGTTGATTGATGTGGCCATATATTTTGATTATTCGTGACAAATTGTAAATTTTCAACGTGTATAATCAATTGCATTTAAAATAATTGGATACCGATCGAGTTTATTTGGTAACATAACCTAAAAATTGATAAATTAATTTTCTAAAAGATATATATATATACGTATAATTTTTAACAATTTTATCCAAGTTTGTGTAAAAGAAGATCAAGAAATTCAAAGGTAAGAAACATTTGTATTTAAAAGAAACTTGAAGGGAGGTGGAATTGCGTGACGAATTCTCGTGATCGATCTTCCTTATTTAATGGCGGATCGCGTAACAGTCGGAACCAAGAGCTTCGACTATTTTTCGCCTTTCGTTCGGAAACACCAAGTGGCCACGAATCACGAGGCAACGTGAATTAAAAACTTTTATCGTCAACAGATTAAACAATTAAATTTACATAAACACATCGTTCAAATACACATTTCGTTTTTATCCCACCTTTCATTTCTACCTTATCTTGAATAATAATATCTCTTCAACCATAACATAATTGAAAATATCTATCTTGTATCTTAATTTCAATGCCTGTTTCTCTCACTCACCATAAAAATTCACAAGTTTTCCAAAATATATCAACTTCCAAAATATAGAAAAAAATATCCATATACTCGATCGAAAATCCACTCCAGACAAATTATTCAAAGAACAAACTTTCCTTAAACTTAATAAATGCTCCTCCTTATCTTCGAATCACCAACCCTTTTCAAACCTTAAAACCATTTTCACCGATTGTCCCTCCAATTTTGTTGCAGATCCAGCGCCGGAGGCCTGCAGCGCGATAGCCTCGAGCGTGTCGGCCGGCGCGGGGGAGCTAGGGAATTCCCTAGCGATCACGGCGCTGTCGTCGATCCTTGTCCTGTCGAGAGTGATTTAAAGTAAGAACGGGGGCCGTTTATCGATCGAGAGCCTCCTGAAAGCCGGCAACCCGGGGTTCAAAGACAGCAGTTGCTTGCATGCACGGGTGTTAGGCCCTCGTCCAGGATCTCAGTTAGTGTGTTTCATTTCAACACTCTCTGTTAATCGTTCGGAACGGTCGATGGATCCCGGTCCTACCTTCTTTCCCTATCGTCGTTCAACGACCACTTTTCTCCTCCTCCTCTTCCCTCTTTCCTCCTCTCTCCTTCCCTCCTCTTCCTTCTCCTCGCGCGTAGAGAAAAAAATAAATAAGATGGAAGAAAGAAAACGATTAATAATAATAATAATAATAACAATAATAGTAATAATAATAATAATAATAATAGATTCGAAGAAAGAGTTTCGACACAGGGATTATTCTCGACGTCTTCGTCGTAACTAACTAACGTAACATAACCTAGAAATCCAATTAGCGTGGCCAATTCCAAATTCGTTGAGGGGAGGGGGGAGGGGAAAATCCGAGCTTGCGAGCTTTGTGGCTGGGTCTTCCCGATGGGGGCCGAGCCGAACCACGATGAAAGATCGATGAAGCGACCGTTGCTCGATGAAACGAGGACAACACAGTCTGACGACGAGCCTCTACGACCTGGAAGTACCTTTATCGATTACAGGCAAAACCGCCAAGTGGACCAAAAATCCTTGAGCGAGAGGGCATGACGCGGAGCGAGGGGAGAACAGAGAGGGGAGAGCAGAGAGTTTAAAATCGAAGTGAAAAATCTCTGGATTGTTGTTGAGGGTTGAAGGAGGGCAGGGAGTTTATGGGATTTGTGAAAGAGTGAGGGAATGGAATTTTTGTCGTTCGCAGTGATGAACGATGAGCGCGAGATTTGCATAAATAATAGGCAGGGGTTCGAATGGAGCGAGGAGGAGAAGGGGAAAAACAGGTGTTGGCAAGGGGAAGGAGGGAGGGGAGGGGGCGTAAACAGTGACCGTCCCGCTATTAACCACCTGTTCGTGCAATCGATGGCCCGCGACACACAAAAGTTTCATTAGTAAAAGCAGCAACAAGTGCGATTTTACATAAGAAAACGCGAGACGAAAATCGGATTCAGGTTGGATCGGATCCAAGGCAGGAGAGCCACGTGCTCGTCGTTCTTCGAGGGATTTCGAGTGATGTGATCGATAACGAGGTTATATCGGCCTTCCTGGCCTTCCTGGACTGTTATACTCTTTTTAAACGGGTTTCGAAAGGAGTTGGAGTGGAGATGGAGATCGATCCGGCCGAGTGAAATTGCTTTTCGAGAGAAAAAAGTCGTTCGGGTTATTTTTTCGGACAATCGACACGCCAGAAGTTTCGAATCGATTCTCTCCTCGTGGAACGAGAATCGAGATTGAGAAAGTTTTCGAAAGAGACCGAAAGCCTGTTTTATCCTCCGATGGTAAAAATGAAAAATCCCATCTTTTAAAATCTTTCAGCCTGGTTTTGCGAAGTAAAAAGAATCGATAATACCAACGATAGTTCCAGTTAAATTAAATCGTATCAGTCAATTTCGATATATATATATATAATATATATATATATACCAGAAGACAGAATCAAAGAAAAGTTCCAACATGGCGGATGATCCACTCCTAAAAGAGATCCTCCAAGGAAAGATAAAATCCTTAACTCGATAGACGAGCGATCAAGTGGAGCATGGATCAACTGATAAAGAGGTTTCCAAGTCTCGGATTCTCGAAACCGATCGACCATTGGAAACCGGCTTAAGGATTCGATGTACTCGAAAATTCAACGGGTTAAGTGCAGTCTGATGTCCTCGTGGTGGCTCGAGAACACTTTCGAACCGAGACTGCCATTTGCTCGTCGAAACGAAAAACGAGCAACCAAGGTTGAAGATGAGAGAGGGAGAGAAGAGGAGAAGAGAAGAGAAGGGGAGGGGTATGAAGAGCAAAAGGATCGTGTCAGTTTCCCGTGGAATTCACGCTCCGTTGCTTGCCCGTTCCACGGATGAAATTGGACAAAACTTGCCTCTCTCGAGCCTTGGAATCGTTACAAATAAATTCTCTGTTTAAAATATGGTTCCTGCTCGCCGGAGATCGCCTCTCTCAAACCGAGTCAAACTCGATAAACTCGAGGATAAAGGTATGCATTATGAGCATTACGTTCCATGAACTGTAAAAGAAAAAAGAGCGGAAAAGAGTTCTCAAGTGATAGTTCTCTCTCCAACTTTGAATACGAGTATTATTATGTACAGCCATATTGGATTTGTTGTTGAAGTTCTACGATTGGAAGGATTAATATCCGCCATAGAGGAGCATCTTTTTTGTGCATTACAACGTGTATTTTTTGCATTAATCTTTCAGAGAGAATTTCAGAGATCTGGTTAATTTAGGATTTTTGAAAATTCCAGAGATCTTGGCGATAAGATTGTGGATAAAATTGAACGATGATTGGAAAGTGATTTGTAAAACAGTTAAACTAAATGATAATCTTGATAATATAAAGACGTACATGTACGCCATCTGTCTCTAGAGACGTTAAACGATGACTCAATACGCGCCATATTCGCACATTGTTGGAACCTCTCTCGATTCGGCATTTTAAATGGAACTCTGAAAGAGTTCGAGGACGGAAACACGAGTCGCGAAAGCATTTCCGGAAGATGAAAAGTGAACAATTTCAACGACAAACGTCTTTCGATCGACAATAAATCTTCGCTTTGAACAAAGAAGAACAACTTTCACGGCCTAAACGAGGGTCTTTCGCGCAATCGCTTCTCATCGATCTTTGCACCACTTTTTTCTATCGATGTCGAAATTATTGTCCGCCTCGAGAACGTCTACAACAATTCATTTTTCTTTTTTTCTTGAGAAAGAGAAATTTCTCAAAAATCTCTGCTCGAAACTCGACTCAAACTTGTTTTGTCCACCCGCTCGAAATTATCTTTCGATCGCACAAAATTCAACCCTTAAAAAAAAAAATGTTGGCCGTTCTGCACTACGCAAGAGGATCCATAAGGGGAAAAAAAAAAAGGAAAAGAAAGAAAGAAAATTTGGAAAGCAAGGACCACACGGATAAGAGAAAGACACCTTTGATCTGGACTTTCAAGATGGGCACAGTTAAAATGACAATACAGTCGATCAAGTAATCGTAGATAAAAATTTAAAAATTGCTAGGAAAATATTTCAAAAGAACATTAAAAAAAAAAAAAATGGAAAAAAATGGAAAACAGAGAGTAATGAAGAGTATGTAACGCGCAGTGAGGAAATAATCTCGTCGTTTTTTTTTTTTTTTTTTCCTAAGTAGAAAAACAGGATGGAAAGACGAAGGGAGGGAAGATCTCTTGCAATTCTCCATTGGGAGGGAGAGGAGTCCAGGTCAAACTCGAGCGACTCTCGAGTGGCGGAGCGAATGTCAAGGGTGCACCGTTGAAATGGCAGTATTCATTAAAGGAAGATAAAAGAGGAGGGAGAAGTGTAAGGAATTTTAAATAAGAGAAAGTAAACTGGAGTGTGGAAAAAAACGTGGAAAAATAACGAGGCTTCTTTATTCGAGTCAATTCTCAGACTCTACCATATGCACGATTCCTTCCATCTTCGAACAGACGTTTTATCGATCCCTGAAGAACCGTGCAACCGGAAGAGGGAACGTAACGAAGAAGAAAAAGAAGAAAGAAAGAAAAAAAGAAAAAGAAGAAGAAGAAACGAGAGCAACACACGAACGAAAATAAATTCGTTTCATTTTTTTTTCCTTGGAAAAAAAAAGAAAAAGGGGACGTTAAAGGAAGGAAGACAAAGGCAAAAAAAAGAAGGGTTCGTGCACCCCTGAAACAGAGGAGAGAATAAGGGTTAACGAGATAATAGAGTAGAGAGGGAAGGGGAGGGGGGGATATACGATTTTTCAACTTCGTCACACGGCTGCCAGATATTACACACAGAAAAAGAAAAAGAAACCAAAAAAAAGAAAAAAAAGCAAAGACACGAACACAGAGAGAAAAAAAGACACGTCGTACATATATATATATATATACGAAGACGAAAAAAAAGGAAGGAAAAATAAAAAAAAATGGCACCTCGTGAAATAATCTCTCGTACACGCGTTTAAAAAAGAAAAAAAAAAAAAACCAAGACAAAATAGAAACTTAAGAGATGTATTATTAAGCAATGTAAATATACATATACATATTATGTATATATATATATATATATATATATGCATATATACATATATATTGATCTATATATAGGATCAATATATATGTATATACGTAATAATAATAAATGCAAGCTGTATATCTTATTACCGTGTGCCGTCGAGCAAAGTAGTATATAAGACAATTTTAAGGCACCCGTGTAATTTTTTTGCTCCGTGACGTAGGTGTCCACACACAGCGACATTCTAGATAACAGTGATCGATTAAGATAAATATATACATATGAATATATATATATATACATATACCGTGTTAAGAAGCCATTCGATGATTTCTCGCAACAGTCGCGAGGACGCGCCGCGATCGTTTCACGCGAGACGGGTTTTGAACGAGTCTCTGGGTGATACTTTTTCTTTTTCATTGATTGAAATCCATATTATATCACGATTCCTGAAAAAAAATGAAATATTGCTTCAATCGGAAGTTGTTATAATAAAAATAATAAGAAGAGAAGAGAATCCGACAGAGAAATCTAATCGAAGTTTTAATAATTCAAAAAATTAATTAATAAACCTTAATTATCTCTTAAAACAAAGCTTAAATTTATTTTTGATCGTTAAAATATTATTCGAAAAATTATCAAATTATCGATCGATAAAGTCTAATCTAACCAACTAATCTAACCAACTTCAAATCTTAAAAAAAAAAAAAAATTTGAAAAGTTTTGGTATAAATAGGAATAAATTTTTCGGGAAATGTGTTACGATATGGCTTTTAAGATAATTTTTTCAAAGCTTCGAAGCTTCCCTATCGATGCGAAACTTTCCCTAGAAAAATAAAAAGAAATAAAAAAAAAAAAGAAAATATAGAAAAAGATTCTCTCGAACGAGCTTAACGATTGGTGTGTGCTGCATGTGTGCAAACTCGTGCTCGTCTCGCGGCAAACGGCACGCTGAAACATGAATCTTCCATTTGGTACATATCACCTATATAAATATATCATATATAGCGAGAGTTGATTCTATCGTTAGAGATCTTTTCAGTAGCTAGAGCATCGAGCGTTTAATCACCGTGTGACATTGCGTGCACGAACTAAAAAAATAAAAAAAAAAGAAAAAAAGAAAACAAAGCGAGAAAGAGAGAGAGAGAAAGAGAGAGAATAGAAAAAAAGAGTGAGAGAAAAAGAGAGAGGGAGAG